TAATTATAAAGCAGAATTTCGATCCAGGGGGGTCGATTTTCATCCTCCCATAGTACCTTAATGCTCTTGGAACTTCGCGATTAATTCACAAGAGTAGTCAGGCCCGCCTATCCTAACGTGTCCATCGCTCTTGGAGTGCTACTCACAGCTCCAGTGAGAGTTGCATCTGCAAAAAAGAAGCTTCTCCAAACCGAAACAGTTTATAACTTATCTAAGATGAAGCATGTCACAAGAAAGTGATCGATGAGCTGGTGGCAAAGGTTCCGAGGATACGAACGCCAAGTCTTTGGACAACCAACACAGATTCCTCTCCTTTCCTTGCTTAATGAAAATGTAGTGATTTTCATTTTTTTCCTGATGTAACTTCGATAATCGAAAATGAAGTAAGGGGCAAATCTCCGAAACCCAGAGGTGACCCAACGTATTTGCCGCAGGGGGCCCTGCATTTTCCCACACCGGGCCCGCACCTGGAGCTGGACTCGTCCGTTCTCAGCGAGCTGAAGTAACTATCGCACATAATATATTCCTCGCGGTGCATCTCTCCCGTGGTTTTCCTTTTCTTTGGATATCCCCACCTCCTTCCGCTCACCATCAGGCCAACTGCACCATTGTTGAAGAATGCGAAATATGTTTGAAAACGGAAGGCTTTTGGCCTTGGCTTTTTCTTCCAGAGCATCCCGTGCCCATCGGCGCCGAACCCAGGGGGGCAAAGGGGCACGTGCCCCCCCAAACTATATTTTTGAGGGGGCACGTGCCCCCCCCAAGAATGGCAAAATTTCAAGAAAGGCACATGGAAAATTGAAAACAAAATGCTGCTTCACGAAAGAAATGAAAAAATATGATATTCTATTTTTTTGGGGCCCCCCCCCCCCCCCCCCCCCCCCCAAAGAACGACAAAATTTCAACGAAAGTATCGCACTTGGAAACGAAATGCTGCTTCACGAAAGAAATGAAAAAATATTAATTTACATTGTGTTTAGAGCTCCAACTGGGGGAGATCCCTTTTTTTATTGACCCGATAAATTATCGGTAACATCCCTTGTTACATGGGAAATGTGTTAAGAGGGCATTTTAACCCTAAAACTACCAAGCCTCAAAGTTTCGCATGTTATAATATAGACTCGTTTATAATAATATAGACAGGTCGTTTAAGGGTTTAATGCCAAGAATGTTCTTTAGTATCATCATTTTTTAATTATAAAGAGACACCATTCAACTTAGTTTGAAGTCAAAAAGTTTCAAAATTCCTGCAGATTTTTATTATTATTTTAGTTAAGTGTTTCAGAATTATGGTAAAGGAGGCCCATATGTAGTGGGTGTAGTGTCGTGAAGTTACATCAGCTTTACAGTTGAGGCTTGAAATTTGGTCCAAGTGGCAACCTTCCCTCTGTGACCAGGTGGTTAGGCTTAGGTGACTTTTTTATCACTTCAGGATTAAGCAGAAACATTCTTATAAGTGATTTAATCATTCAGGGCAATGAGTAAAATGCAGCAATAATATTGGTATCAATTGGCAATGGATGATGCACCTATCCTTTCCTTTCCTTTGGACAAGCATTTTGAAGGAAGACCTCTTCATTGTGAAGATTAGAAATCCTGAACAGAAGTATAAAAAGCTACTAGAAGTTGAGGAAGGAGAGTGTGACTCAGACTATGGAGATGGTCTTTTCCCAACCCCAGTGTTCCCCCTTTTTTTGAAGACCCCTACATTTGCCCTCCCTGTAGTATGGCCTCGACCTCTCTTCCCTCTAATGTGGAATGCACCCAGCCCCAGGTCCCTCTGTCTTCCTTTTTCCTTATATGTACATCATCCTTGATATGGTATTTTTGCCTTCAAACTTAGAGAAAACAGGTGAAAACTAAGGTAAACCATGGTAATTTCAACTTCTTATAATTTTGGTTGAGGTTTTTTTTCTCCTAGATTTTGTAGCAATTTTGATTTCTGGTGATAAGTACACTCAATTGGACATTTTTGTACAAACAATTCCATTCAACAAGACACCACTGGAAAGCTTACATCTTTTTAATGGAGCATTAAAAGCAGGCTTGTTTGTGCAACAACTTTCAGGGGTTGAATATCTAATGATTGCAATAAAAAAAAAAGAATTTTATGACTTTGTGATTGTTACAGAGCTACGTGACCTCTCTGAATAAATAATCTTATGGGCATTATAAACTTTGTTCCAGAGTTATTATATAAGGGGTAGAAAAGAGTTTGCTCTAAGCCCAGGTCTTACTATGTATAAAGGAGTGCTAAGTGATACAGAAATTTGAACCATGTATTTATTGACTTGAACTTTTAAGAAAGCATGACTTTGTGAGATTTAAATTTTACCCATCACTGCCTGCATGAGAGAATGAAACTGATAGAGGCAGTATGGGAATGGAAGCAGGGATGGGATACTTCATGTGAAAATAGTGTATTTTATTCTTTTTTAATCTATGGGAAATTGTTATATTTAACTGTATTTTAGGGTGTGCTCAGCAAAGATTTTTTCTGTGCAGCATGGTTGTGCAATACTGTATTATGGGCTACATGCAGATGATTGTATAGGGTGTGAAGTCATTCCCTGGAAAAGAACATGGGATCAGGAACTCCTGGCTGGGACAGAGTTGCAATTATTGATTGCCAATCTAAAACAAAAGCCTTTTTATTTATTGGACACATGCATAATATTTAAAGAAGAATATCTTAACAAATATGACATCTATTTTCCTATAAAAACACTTTTGATAAGACTAATATTTGTCATACTCTCTTTAGCCTCAGCATTAATGAATGATTCTCTACCCACTTCCAGATTTCTTCATCCAGGAGTCATAGACAAAGGGAACTACAGCATGTTTGCCCCTCCAAAAACGCTCATACCAATGCCAGACCATGAATCACCTCGAACTGCAGCCTTATCTTCAGTTACTGATCAGGTTGGTCTATGCATGAATGATCTGTTTGAACTTTCCTCTTTGGTGTATCTGATCTAAGCCTTAGTTGAAGCATATCAGTATTGCCACTGCATGACTCAAGAAAGGTTTAAATTTTAACCCTGCTTTCATACTATTGAGCTGAAATGAACCCTTTCAGACCTGGCATCTATTCCAATGGACATGCATTTACATTGTGTCTATGGCAATTTCTTAGGATTCTCGTGACATTGTGCTCCATATTATGTTACAATGGGCACAATTATGCATGGCTCAGTTCTATTAAATGTATAATATATAATATATGGTATGATATGGTAAATTTATACAAAATATGAAAATTATGTATAAAGCATGAAAATTTCCATTATAATCACAAAAAAGCTCGAAAATGCAAAAAAATGATATTATTTCAGTAGCGGCCTGAATTCAGGTCTGAAAGGGTTAAGATGGCAAAAATCAGTAATGAATTTTGAAGCATTTCACTCACATAACAGCTGCCACCATGGAATGGGTCTGCTAAACCATCCCCATGTAGTAAAGCCTTTTTTTTTAAATTAATGGTAAAGAAATGGCTGATGGATGGTAAGAAACCAAAATTTCTCTCATATGTGATCCATATTTATCTCTCAAGTTGGGCTATATCATTTTGCAGCAAATTTTCCCATATGGAAAGATCACATATGTTAGTTACATGCAATTATCTGTGCCTTATGATTTAATATATTTATCATGTATTGAAATATGCAGGCATATATGGTTGGAGCATATGATCCATGTAAAAATTATTCATATATTAAACATACGAGGGCAGCATATATGTTCTGTGTAAAATAATTATGCAATTTGAGGAATGGACTCCTGCAGATATGATACACCTAGGTTAAGTATATGGTTTTTATGAAGAACTTTCATATATTATGAATACACACTCAGCATGCATGCTTTCATTTAAAAAATATGTATTTCTGGAAATGTATATTGTACCATATGCATGTGGGATACATAATTTAGATGGATGGCCATATGGTGGGAAAAACAATTACTTTGTGACTTTTTCATATATAATTTACAAGTACTGCATGCTTCATGCTGGAAAGGTTTGCTGATCTTTTAATGGTGATTATAATCCTGCATAATGGCTTGCATGCAATTCCTTATGGAGTAAGCCATACATTATTACTTATACCATGTTTTGAAAGGCTGTATATGAAAATATGCTGTATGCTTATAGAACTATAGTACTTGAAAACAAGTATGACACACTCAGGCTTTTAGGCTTCTACACAATCGGGCCATTCTCATGATTCACATTATGAAGTACACATTAAACCAATTCTGAGTGGCAGGGATGTGAAAAAACTGCTGCAATTTTACTTTCATTTTCTTCTTCCCTCATTGAACTAATTGACAGATCCTGATTGATGGTACAACTTGACAGTTCTGACTGAGAAAACTTTGTACAACTTGAAATTGATATGGATATTTTTGTTCACTTATTCCAACATGTTTCATTTTCAACACATTAGTGAATGGCTTTTGTATTTTCACAGAAGTAACAAATGAAGTGCCAATTCTCAATCTGGTTCCAGAAGTCATTTTTGAAATTTGGGAGAGACTTGCAAGAGTTCCATGATTTCATGCATGTTTCATACCTGATTTGGTCATGTATCTTGTCAGGTGTGACATATATGCTTCACCTTATACTAGATAAAATTATTAAATCATACAAGTTTCTTATCTACTCCACCATACATGCTTTTTATAAAATTATTGTATGGAATTGCCGTATGGATAATATGCTCATTGTTTCAATAGCAATATATGGTCAGATATATTTTCCCATATATGTTCATATAATGTCATACATGATTTTTCTGTATGGATTGTCACACATCAGGGATGCCACCATCCTGGAATGTACAACTATGTAAAACTTTCTTTTCTGCTTCAGCACCATTTAGCTTTGCAAGCAAAGTAACTGAAAGGTTTTTCACAGTAGGTGACAATTTATGCAGATTATGTTTTAAGGCTGTGTTGGCAGCACAGTGACTGCTTTCATTCCTGTATGTGCGTGCCTTGTTGGGACTAGATCTAGCTTTTGAAATAGCAATACCCATGACAAGGACTTCTTATCTTGGAAAAGTGATGCCCTGGAGAATTATTTTCATCAAGGTGTAAGCATTGTATATGATTTATAATATTCTCAATACATATCCATGTCCAAAAAGGACACTACTATTCTCTGTTGCCAAATCTTTTTCCTATTTCCTCCCCTGTATCCCTCCTCCCCTCTCCTATATCAATAGGATTGTGAGGGGTTAAACTGGCTGGAACCAGAACCAAACTATAGCTCCTTACAACTGGTACTGAGCCTAACTCATGTTGGATTGGGTTCATGCATGAGTTTGAGCTGACATCTCTTTTGTCTTCTTTTTATAATAACTCTACTTGTTGACTATGAGATGGAATTTCTGGAAGCAGCCTAGAGAGAGTAAATGTAAGAGTATGTTGTATAATTGGGACAATTGTAACATATTAGATGCATTGATGTGTCAAAACTTAATGGGTTTATTAATAGTATGACAGCTAAGGTGATGTAGTAAGTTAGTGTAAGTACATGATGAAAGAAGTGCAATTTTCAATGCAAGAAGAGGGAAAGAACCCCATTTTATAAATGATTATTGCTGTCAGTTGGGTTAGTTGCCTGGATTACAAACATGAATAATTTTGAACGCTCAAGAAAGACTATCAAAATAACTGATTCCTTTTTAAACTTGTAATGCATATATTCATGTTTATATTTGAAAAAATTTGAAGTAAGCTCTAATACAGGGCAAGTCAAAAGTCACTGAATGACTTTGAACAGCTATAACTCAGCCAGGAAGTCATTAATTTGCAAACAGTTTCGTGCATTGGAAAGAGCGTTTGCTAATTAATATAATGCAGCAAGAAAATAAAATCATTAATTTATTTGGCATTAAAAATGACTGGGATTACTGGCCATGATATTGAGCACCATTAAGCTTAATCACTCAGTGGAGGTGAGCTGTTGCTGAATGGCAGAGGGTTGCACGCATGTTGAAGTTAACTCCAACAATACCCTCTGTGATGCATTGCTTCAGTTCATTGATTGTTTGTGAATTTTCTACAAATACCTAGTCTTTAATGAAAACCTACAGCCAGATGTCAAGTGGAGTCAGGTCTGACAACCTGGGTGGCCACTCAATTGGCCCATGGCAACTTATCCATCTGTCTTCAAAGCAAAATGGTGCTTCACTTCAGAATGGTTTCCTTCACAGACAGAGAACAAATGAACGACAGCAATGCACTCTTCCAAAGAAAGTTCATTGGACATTATCAGAAAACCATTTGGAGCTGCAGAAATAGAAAAAATTCACTGAGAATGGGGTGTCCGTGGTACCTTAAATACCTGTTTTTTGTTTAAAAAATGTTGTTTTTTGTTATGTGCAGACTCATCCCATTTCTTACTAGTATTTCCTGCAAATTTACATGTTGTTTGGTCAATTAATACATGCTCTTTCATAAGCAACAAAATGTTTGAAATTTAATGCCTTCCCTGCCGAGTAATATAATAGCTGTTCAAAGTCATTCAGTAACTTTTGGCTCACCTTGTATAACTAATCCAAAATACTCATACAATATTTGGAAGCTAGTTTAGGTTCATAACAAGAAGTATTAGTTTTATTTTGTGTCGCTATACCAACAATCCTATATTAGGTCTTCCTCATCCCCATGTATAATGTGTGTTGGCAATCATCTACTGTGACATTGGAGTTGGTAACCCCTTCATATCTCCAGTTCTCTAAGTTATGAAATTTAGACTTACTTTTAAGCACCAATTTTTCTCCTCAGACATACTACTCTTACCACTTTCTATGGCATAAAGGTATTCTATTTTCATGAAAGAATGCTGTAGACTAATTGGCACTTTCCTGGAAGTAACTTTTTTGCAAACGTGTGATGCAGCTGCAGGAGCCTTTCTGAGATCAAGAAGAATTTACCTTCACAGTTGCTTTCTCTTATCAACTGAACTAGGGTCTGACTATATTATAATGCAATTTTTAATTGTATCTAAGTCAGAAACTTCCACAATAGTAAGAAACATATGAGAAAGATTGTCCAATGAGAGTCCTATTCTCATTCTTGGATGCTGCTTCATGACTAGCCATTCCAAGCGCTGCAGCTACTTGCTTTGCAATCCTGGGAGATTTTTTTGCACTTCGGAATCCTACATGGTGTAGCATGCTGATGAGACTGACATTTCAATAAAATTTTATTTCTTAACTTCAAAGTGCATCAGAAATTCAGAATTTGGCATGGAACCTCAATGCTATTGATTCAGAGAAGTTTTATGTTCTTTATTAAGATTATTAAGATTCCAAATTACATGCCAGGACAAAAGAGTTTTTCCAAAAGCCATTTGACCCACTTTGGCTTTACGTTTTCTCTGAAGAGAGAAGGCTTAGATATTCTGATATCCTTTGACTGAGTGATAAGCTGAGTGATTACATCACAAAATGTGACTACAAGTTGTGATATTCTTTGAAAGTGCACCTCAATATGAGGTCTCCAAGGGCATGGTGCTGTCCTTATTCTTCATGAGTTCAATTATGCCTCATGTGGTATCTGTCTTGAAATTATTTAATTTTATTTAATTTTGGAACCCAAGATAGGACCTCCTACATATAATGGGTTTGTTGAAAATTAAAGAATGAAAATTTCACCCCTTGAAGAACTGAGCTACATTCTTATAAAGGAATAAGATTGTAGACTTTCATCATTATTATAAAGAAGAAAACTTAAGCTCATTTCTACTCAAGTTATTAGAGAAGGACAACATTTGAAAAGGTCTTCTTGTGTGGACACTTGACAATTCAACTTTAAAAATTCAGCAAATAAATGTGATTCATGTAAGTGGAATCTGCATATTCTATACATTCATGCAACAGTGGCATGTGTTCCCTTGTGAAGGCATTTCTGCTTCCATTGGTTATGGAAAACCCCAAAACACTATAGGCTTCAACTAAAACAAGATAAATGTATTAGCAGAGCCTCATGAATGTGCTATCTACTTTCCAGAATCAAGTCAATGGAGGGAAGAAAGGGCCCAATCAGCTACAGGAGCCACCAGTGTATGAAACGGCATGGGAACGAGCCATCAGGTTGTCTAAAGAGGTTGTAACTTTAATTTCCTCTATAAATCTGATGCACAGATTTAAAGCTGTAGGCTTATGCTTTGAAAACTTCGCAGATTGGAGATGTTGGAGATTTATTTTAATTTAGTAAGGGAGAAAAGGAAACAAATGGAAATAAGCCTTATCATGTATTACATGTCAAGTAAAGCCTTGTGTGCCAGGATGGGAATGCATTTCATTTTGAATGCTGAAAATATGTCATAGAGGCAAAGGCATTTCTTGTAGTGTTTGGTTATTCCTTTGCTGTATATCTGATCTGGAGCTGAAAATTTACTTGGCATACTTCCTATAAATCATTTTGGAAATTTCCCATTATTAAAAATGAATAAATTTGATTAAATATTCAATGGCCAATTCTCATGATGAGGCTTGAAGTTTGCACACTTTTGGAAGTGTAATAGGCCTGCTATGAAGTTATGTGACTGCAGAAGAAGACATGAATGAATTTGAATTTTCAATAGGATAAAGTGAGACATACCAATGTAGCCTCTCTTGTGCTAATCCCAGTTCAAAATGACTTTGTATTCATCATCCTCATCTTCTGCAGCGATTGAAGAAAGCAAGTGAAAGGAAAGAGCATGATATTGACTTTGAAGTGAAGCGATTCAACTTGAGTATTGGACAAGATGAACCTGAAGACTTGGAGAAGGAAAGCAGTATATGTATAGCCAGGCCTCCTACTCCTGTGAAGAAGGATGAGGAACTCAAGTGAGCTTCTATCCTGCTCATTGCTCATAGATTAGTCTTCCTTCATGAGATAGGCCAATAAGGAGAAATTATGTTCAAGCTATTTTCCTCCTGTCTTTCTTCCATGGTGTAACAGGAAAAATTGCCTGATTCATTCTCTTTCCTCCTTGTTTAAAATACTCCCTGAATGTTTCTTCTGAAGCCATGTTGCTAATAATGAATGTGAGAAGTATTTTGAAGCCCAGTGATGTGTGGATTTTGGGAAACTCTTTTGTTTTGGGTAGCTTTTATATTTTGCAAAGGCAACAGTAGATCTCTCACACAGCCCTCCTGTATGGGTGAAAAACCATGTTCAGGTGCAGATTAACCCATTGGATTCAGATTTTTTCATCTGAAGGATTTTGTGCAAAGATTCAGTGAGTGAATGCAGCCCACATCAATAGAATTCAATGGGTTAATACCATGATTTATAGATAAATTTTTAGAGTATGTATTTGAGCCATTGAAAAATTTGCCAATATCTTTGTAACTGTTTAACCCTTTGCAGTCCATTTTTTAGAACATTATGACCAATGGTCTACCCAGTGTGACAAAGAACTGCAAAGGGTTAAGCTGTGGCTGAAGTTGGGGATTGTCATTGATCAGTTAATTGACCAGTCAAGTAATAGGTGAAAACATTCAAATGGAAATCCATTTGAATGTCATTACTCTCAATATGTAACTACTATTCTCAATTGAGATATAGACTTTGGCATTCAGATTGCACATGTTGGAATATGCCACAGGAACCAGTAATATTTAACACATAAACTGCCATAGAGGATGTCAGCATGTAGTATGCATAAATCCTTCAGATCCTTCACATAATCCTTCAGTATTTTATGTTACCCTCAACGTTTTTGGTATGTGAATATGCTCTTCTTCATGTCCATGTAATATGATTTTGTTGCTCTCTTGTAATGAATATTTGAATTTACTCTGAACCAGACTGGTTTTTGGGTATAGGTCCAGACCAGATCTCAGTTCTAGAAAACAGGTCAGAATGCTATGTTCTGCCTGATGCCACTGGCTTGAAACATTGTGAGATGGCAGGATGACTTGGCATCTTACCTCAGAATGTATGCAGATTGCAGAAAAAGTGAAAATATTGTTGTTAGAAGGAGCAAGAAAATTGCAGAATTCAAGTTCATTCTTAATATTGTCACATTAAGAGGTGGTTGCACATGCAAACTTAGTTTCAAGTGATTGGCCAGCAAGACCCCAATATGTGAAATGTAAGTTTTCTCTAACTGCATTAGAATTTTCTCTTAGCTGCTCCTCCATAAATGGAAATGGCATGATTTATTTTCTAACATTACTGCAAATTGAATTTTTATTTCTATCTACTCATATAATGAGCAAAATGTACAGCATTGTGACTAAGAAGTTCATTTTAAATTATTTTAAAGCAGCTTTTTTTAACTCAAAAACTTCTTGATTACCCAAACCCAATTTTATTTAAGTTCAATAAAGAATCCTTGTTTTATCACCTGTGATGGCACAAAGGTGAAATCTGTTTAAGCTAAATCACCCCTATTGGACTCAAACAGATTGAAGATCTCTTGTACCATTTCTGTCAGATGGCATTTGTTCCAGAGTGAAAGCAAATGCAAACCACCTGCAGCACTTTTTTTTCTGCCTCAGGTGCTGATGAAGAACTTTGAACACACCTAGCTGTATTTGGGAATCTTGCTACACTGCAAGTTGAGCTTGATTTGCAACTAGAAGTTGGACTTATCTAAGTATTTTACTGCCAAGTCCCTATCAAATTACTAAATTAATACATATAAATTACATTAGTGTGACAAATATATATCTGAACCAGATATGTACTTAGCTATAATAGTAGCAACAAAGCTGTAATTCTCAACATTTTACAATATATTAATAGAAGGGCCCATGGTGGATGCATTATATGTTTGGAGATCAGGAAACCGTAGTGAGACATTGGCTTCGTTATCTTATTTTCAGCTTGATTTTGTGATGTATGGCCCTTTTCATGCAGTGATTCAATTAACACATTGACTGCCATTCACACCATATGGAGTGTTTTGTGCAGTGAACCTTCACTGTTGTTCACAGCAGTAAGTAGTTGATCATGTATTTAAATCCCTGGTAGTCAATGTGTTTACTAGTAGGGAAAGGGGGGATAGGGGAACCCACTGACTGATATGTAGCCCTTCCATTACTTTCTTCATTGGGGTGTCTTCAAACATCTAGGAGGCATGACTTTTGAAACAAAAAATGGGGCAATCAATTGTACATAAGTGAAGACACGGGATAGGAAATTACCCCTTTTATAGTTTAGTTTGCATTTCAGAATGGCTCATCAAGTCATGAGATGATAATGCTTTTTTGTACTGTAGTGTTATGTAATTTCCCCTGTTATATGCATTTGATTGTAGTGAGAAATGTCAGCTTATAGGTTTTATTTAATGTGGAATGTCTGACAGGATAAGAAATGTTGGAAATTTGACTTTTCAACTGATCAATCTAAATCTTTGGCTTTCCAGCTTTGATGAGACATGCCTGGATGAGTCAGATAGACTTGCCCTGGAGGCGTGGCGAATGAAGAAGCTGCGTGAGAAACGATATGAAGAAGGTCGCAAGCACAGAGAGAGTGACTACTACACCGCTTGGACTGATGAATTTGGGAGGACTCGCTATCGACGAAGAACTGAAGAGACACGAGAAATTCATCAAGAAGGAAGGAAAGAGATGAGCCATGTCAGGAGAGTCCCTCCTCCCCCAGACAAGGATTGGAAGGATGGCAGGTAAGTGTAAAGTATTCAAATTGAAGATTCTGCCCATCCTTGAAGGGTATTTCCTGAGATGATGAGAAAGAATCCACTGTGCCTTTGCCCGTTATAACCCAGGAGTGAAGAGGTGACATCTGTGGTGAAAGGACGAGGTGATGAATGGTCTGATCCGTGGATGCGTGCCCGATCTCCAGGTCCTGGAAAAGGGAAATCTGCAGGGAAGCCAAAAAAGCATCCTGGATCTCATTCCTCACACTCCTCCAGGTTCTCCACATCTAATCCTTGTTTGCCTTTAGAATGAGGAAATGTTACATCATTCTATGGATGATTGTGAAGCTTGCATGTGCAACAGTTGTCTCAGTGAGATTTGCATAGGGAGAATATGGCATATACAACTCCGCATAAAAATATTAAGATATTTTTAAAAAGTCGTGTACATCAATTTCTCACTTGACGTATTTTGTGACACACACAAGGGAACAATTTGTACTAAAGCCTAATGTGGAGCCTTACCTTTCTTGATGTTAGCAAAGTTGGCTCACTTGTGGTACTTGTTTCTGGGGAGGGGTCCTATGCAGAGACTTGATAATGGGCTGTGTCAGAATATTACGATATTTCATGAAGTGTGTCAAAATATTATGATATTTTAATGCACATGGCGATTGAAGGGGAACACATGATCAAGTCATCATAAACAACAACAGGGGGTATAAAAGACTCCTTTCAGGCCTGCCTGACTCATTGTTGACGCACTTTGCTTTGACATGCATGGGCCGAAAGAAGGATCTCATCCCAGTGAACAAAGCCACCATCCTTGCACTTCATCAGAGTGGAAAAACACAGGTGGACATCAGCAAGTTGTGTGGTTATGCGCAATCAACAGTGTCTGCTGTCATCAGAAGCAGCATTGGAGGTGAACCCGCGCCTTCCAACAAGAAGTCAGTGTCTGCTGTCATCAGAAGCAGCATTGGAGGTGAACCCGCACCTTCCAACAGGAAGAATTGTGGGAGAAAGAAAGCAACAACACCAAGGGAGGACAAAAAGCTGCGGAGAATTGCCATTGAGAACCGCATGAAGTCCGCTGCAGATCTTCGCAATCTCTGGGCCGACGCAGGGATAGAAGCCTCGAAGAGTACTGTCCTACTGTTCATTCAATGGGGTTTGAATCACGAATTCCCAAAGTGAAGCCTCTCCTAAACGCAGCTCAGCGGAAACGCCATTTGATGTGGGCGAGAAAATATTCCTCTTGGACGTCTGCTGACTGGTCAAAAGTCCTCTTCAGCAATGAATCAAGGTTCTGCATCACATTTGGTGATTGTGGACCATGCGTGTGGCAACGGAGCGACGAAATATACCACCCTGACTGCACTGTGAAGTACCCCATGAGTATTATGGTGTGGGGCTGCATGTCCTCCCAAGGTGTTGGAAGTCTGTGCATCTTGAACACAACCATGACTACTGCCGTGTACCAAGATGTTTTGGAATCTTTCATGGTCCCTTCTTCTGAAACATTGATGGGAGGTGAAGATTTCATTTTCCAACATGATCTTGCACCTGCCCATGCATCCAAGTCCACTAACAAATGGCTGGCTGACCACGGGATTGAGGTGCTGGAATGGCCAGCCAACTCCCCAGACCTCAATCCCATAGAAAATCTGTGGGGGAAAATGAAGCGCCAGCTACAGCAGCTCCGACCATCTTTCAAAGAAGAGCTCAAGACCATAGTCAGGCAAGTGTGGGAGGCCATCACCCCAGATGAGTGCACCAAGTTGGTGGAGTCCATGCCCAAAAGAATTGTGGCAGTCATTCGCAGTCATGGCGCTCCAACTATGTACTGACTCACACTTTTGTCAAATATTTGTTAAATAAACCACTTTTGGACAACAACTTGAACACTTAATATCTCAGTTTTGGTCAGTATCGTAATATTTTGACACACTTTTTGGAATATTGTAATATTTTGACACACTTTTTGGAATATCGTAATATTTTGACACACCTCAATATTCTTCAAAAGCCTCAGTACCAGAGCGGTCAAAGAAACAAAATTGTGGAACATCTGTCCTGTAAATGGTAATATTTGAGCTTTCGAATGAGGTAAACATAATGCCATGTTGACAAGGTGTTGACCAACAACACTAACTTTGTAGAGATGTAGCTTTTTTTCTCTTAATATCATAATATCTTGACGCGGAGTTGTATATTGCTGCCTAATGATATTTGAGCATGTCAACATTTCCACAGGCTGCTCTTTGGATACCACTTTCTTATGAAAAGATACAATTCAAAAGTGTTTTTTTTTTTTTAGCAGTCTCATAAACTGAAATGGCAGTGAAGTGAGGAAATCATGGAATTGTTCCAACTCCAATATGCAGGTCTCACTTCCCTTGGAATAATTTTGTTATATCAACCAAAAATGTGGGACCCTCAAGTAGCTGGGATAAATACAGGGTGTCCCTAAAGTCATCTTAATTACAATGGAAAAAAAAGGATTTGGGGGGGAAAGGATAAATAATTATTTATAAGTTATAATTAATTTTAAAGGTGTGAAACATGTACAGTTTCCAGTGTAAAGTCACTTTTGGGATACTCTGTACAGTATATTCCAGAAACTCCAGAGGCTTTTCCCCTAATAGCCACAATGCAAATGCAACATTAGGCCAACACATACGTGGTAAACTTACATTAATAGATTCATTGATAGACTCACATATTTTTTTAGCAAGGGAGCTGCCATCACATTGTCCCCTTGTGGTTAAAGCTCAAAATGTACCTTTTCTGCATAATGGGTGGATGGAGTTTCAGCACTGCTTGAATGATTTCTCTCAGTTGATGCCATAAATGTGACACTTTTTATGCATGTTCTCAATATAGTATTCTGCATAGTATCGATTCTGATGCTACAACATGTAGAATACTTCAACAAGGACATAGCAAACCAAGTAGTCATTGTGGCAGTAAATGAGAAAAATCATTCAACCAGTGCTGAAACTCCATCCTCCTCAACATGCAGAAAAGGTACAGTTTTTGACTCCACTTTGAACAATTGTTGATTTTTATTCAGACAACCAAGGTACATGAAACTTTCAGAAAACAAATGTGGTGCTTCCAGTGTGATGTGGAAACATCGTGAACCTAGATCATCTACAGTGGGTTTTATAAAGCATCAAACATAATGCTTTTTTTTGAGCCACCCATTATAATTATAATAGGTAGTGATGGCCATCCTTTCTTGATGGATGATAAGAAAATATGTAAGAATGATGCCTCAGAGAGTTTTGTGACAAAGTAATCCTGATCACTTTGACATTCTCTTTTGCTGATTTATCATGGTTATCCAGATTATCACAAGCATTCTGTAGTTGTGCAAGCAGGGCAGTTGGTATCTTGCTGGTAATTCATTGGTCATCCTGGAAAAAGAATTTTTTTTAGTACATGTAATGTTACTCAACCAATCTACTTCATTTTGATGAGATACATTGTCCTGACTAATCCCATCATTGTGATTTTTGTGTTTCCTTAAAGAGGTAGCTCGCGATCCAGTTCATATTCATCATATAGTCGGAGCAGCAGCAGAAGCAGTGCAAGTTCTTTGAGTAGATCACGATCAAGATCCATCTCAAAATCACCTCCACCTCGAAAGCCTCCAGGTATTTTTATGCCAAAGCATCTGTATAGACTTCTTTTAGTTCTTTCAGCTGAAGGAAATGATAAACGATTGGAACAAAATGGTGCTGACAACTGGCAATGATTGATATCTTTTCAGTAGGTGGTGGAGAGAGACAAATGAAGCAAAATATGAGGGCATATCCTCCACCTGTGTTGGCGTCCATTCCACCTCCAACTCGTGCTCCTCTTCCTCCTCATGTTTTCCCTCCTCAACCCACAAACATCGTTAGACCTACTCCACTTGGTCCAAGGAAATCCAGATCCCCTCCCATTGTCCAGTCACAGATCTCTACTTCTCCTGATAGGTCAGCCAAACATCTTATTGAGTTATTATTGCAAAATTGTTTATTCTTGGTAGGTGTCCAGGAATTATGGATTAGTTAAGAGATCTTATCAACAGAAATTCAGAAATAATCCAGGTTCAGCAAAAGTAACAAGAAAAATAATCTTATCATGAATTGGATTTCTCCCTTTTTCTTTTTTTTTTTCAAGACTATCATAGTGACAGCCTATTCTAATTCTAATGCAGAATGTGATCTCCAAAGGAACCTGTCAACCTGAGAGAATAACTTTAAGGGTACATAAAGAAGAGTGGGAAGAAAAAGAGGCATATGAATGATACTGTTAATTATCCTTTGGCAATTGGGAACCTACATCTTACAGAGGTATAACCCCTTGAGTTGCAATTGGAGTATACTCATCATTTGTTAACTACATATTCTGGTCTCCATGTTAACCTATCCAATAAGTGAAAAGGATTCCTGTCTCAAGTTATTTCTTCCTTGCTCTACACTAGGGGTGCCCAAAGTGAACATTCACTGCAACAATTCTGAGTGCAACTTGTAGGCTGTACTTTGGGCACCCCTGTTTTAGACTCTTGCTACTACATAGCTTATGTAGCTTCAGAGTCATGAATGAGTCTTTCCATGTCCTTGATGTAAAAAAGGAAAACCTCTGATTTGAATGAAACTTAACTGATTTTTTAAGTACCCTCTGAGCCATACCAATTATTGAGTTAATTTTTGTCTGGCTGCCCCTGATATAGTCTTCTCTTTAACTTCTGTCCTAATTGAGCTGCAGAGCTCATTCGTTAACTCTTCAAATCTTTTTCATTGGAGTGAATAAGTTTTTGACTTTGTCCTGGATGTTAGCTTGAAGTAAGGTGACAATGTTGGTGACCTTTAACCTTACACTGCCAATAACAACCTGGTTGGCTTGTATGCAAGACATGTGGCTATGTCTGTATGAAATTTTACCATGGACTCTACCCTTGGGATGACTCATCTGGAACTGCTAGACCAGTGGCACCCATGTGTGGTGAGGGCTACATGGATACTATGGTCAGTCTGGAATGGGCCACATTGAAAACATCATACATTTCTGCAATTTTATATGTAGAAAAGTCAAATAGTGACCTGCATATAAGTGGCATATTTTGACTGAAGAGTGAGGGGCCAATTGAATGGGGTGCCAAACCTCAACCAAGAAAAAATTATTATCTCCAAGGGGGCACCAGGAGGGCAGCTGCCTCCTGTAAAATATGCCACTGGTTGTACAGAAATAGAAACTAGGCCACACTTCCATTGTCACTTTTGCAGATTAAGTAAAAAGAATTATTAGGGCATCTATGAGTCAACACATTTTCTCCACACATTTCTCTGTTCCCATGGAACTCTAACTCTTGAAATCCTTCAGAAACTCACGATTGTTCTCAGTACATCAAAAGATCCCTTTAACCTAATATTAGTTCAATAAGTCTCAAAATGAAAAGAGGCTGGAGAAGGAAGGTAACACTTTCACTATATTAATAGGGTATGCTCTTAGTTTGTATTTGAATAGCATGGGTGCCATCTAATGGAGAGTTTCAGTACTGTGTCAGGATCACATTTCATGTGCAAAAGTGTCTTAGGGCTTGAAATGATCTGCACTGAATAGGAAAGTATTCCTCTGCCACAGTTCTTTGAAAATCACATCACATCTTTTTGAGTTACAAGGAAGCATGTAATGGCACACAAGCGCATGATCTAGATCACTTAAAATTTGTAAAATGTGGAAGGGAAATAGTGCTAGGTAATGATAGCTTTTTTCCCTGTGCACAATGTGCACACAGTTAATGCTAAAGTGAATATCAAATAGGTACTTGTTACTCTTCACATGCACTCCAGGATCTGGCTTGGATCATGATCACCTACCTTGCTCTGGGCTCAGCATCTAAGTAACCTAGAATTTTGATTGATTTGTTTTGATTTCAAAACAGATGTCTGTGCATTATTTCTCATCAACAGAGATACTTCTAAAACTTGATACAGAATCTTCTGTAATTGAATTCCATATGAATGTGGGATCAAAATGCAGCAGTCAGCCTAGAGATTGTGGCAAATGCAACTCTCCATTGACTAGCAGATGTGGCATAGTACCTTTTCTGTGTGATTTCTTTGTCTATGATGGTAACCTTGAGGCCTACATCTTCCTGTCCTTATTGCTTAACCCTTTTTGTGCCTCGCAGCCAATTTTTTGCCCATGTGTACTACTTCCAAAAATGCTACAACTACAAGAACCATNTTGTGCCTCGCAGCCAATTTTTTGCCCATGTGTACTACTTCCAAAAATGCTACAACTACAAGAACCATGAAGGAAGAAACCTAATGAATAACTGTGGCCAAAAAATGGGCTGGAATGGCCTTTGGCATTTTTTTTTAGCAGGAGTAGAAGTGGCCAAAAAATCAGTTGCACTGCACTAAAAGGGTTAAAGAATTGGAGAAAAGGAGAACCTGTAAACTCCAGTTAAAACTGGGATACCCACATGTTTTTTTATGGAGTAATACAGGGTGTTGGAAAAGTCACTGTGCAGTAGAATTAATTTATTTTGTTACATGTATTTAGTATTGTTCTGCATATCACATGTGTTGCATCATCAAAGACATGAATTTCCTCTCAATACTTCATCAAATATTAGCACCACCCCTGATACACATAATTTATTGTCTGTAATTCCTAGCTACAGTGAGGCCTCCTACATCTTGTCATGAATTCTACTGCACAGTGACTTTTTGAACACCATGTATAATTATTGGCAAACCTTTGCTCATCTTCAGATATCTACTGAAGTCAAGTTACAGAAATGACTGATTTACTTTCAAGGATTAATGTGCAAGCTTTCTTTAATACGATAAGGTGGACCAGTTTATGATGTCCAGTAAAAGATCTTTTGTAACATTGTACTCTTTTTTTTTAGTTTTTACCATCAGTTAATATTTCATGATTAAGGAAATGTAATGATATGAGTATTTTGCAGGGGGAAGGAATCAAGAATGGGAATAAAGCGAAAACGGAGTGCATCAAGCAGGTATGTGACTCATGAATGTTGCAATCATTTATTCAAGCCCTTATGCAATTCCTGAGGGGCTGTTCAGTTGCAGTTGCTATTTGTCTGCTTTTAGTCCAGAATTAGATAGACTCAACTGAAACTACACCAGTTTATTGGAATCCCTATGTACATTAAAATAACTAATGGTTGACCAATATTTAATTGAAACCAAAATGAAGCCTGAATCAAATGTGGTTTGTGAAGTAGCTCAATGCTCTCCCTACCTAAAGTTGATAGGTGCTCCTATTCCTGTGTGACCAGCCAAAATGGGTTGGCATTCCTTAAAATTAATTTTTGATGCTTGGTTATTGGATTGCAATGGATTGTTTCTTGTTGCTCACAAAAAATATCAAGGTCAACTTGTCTGAAGTGCCTTGATGAAGATAGTACTGTGATGTAAAATAACTTGAGGAAAGACAATCTGAATGAGCAGCAATTTATCACCTTTTCAATTTTACTGATAATGCAGAAAGTTAAGCATAAGCAGAATTTGCAATGCTTTCTTATTTTAATGGAGCCCTCATCCATGCCTGTAGATTGGATGATGTGAAAAAACAATGGCGGGGTAGTTGGGCAGTCAAAAATGAGGAAGAATTGACTTCAGTGTGATGTTCATCTGAGGGAAATGGTGTCAATCCAAGTAATCCAAAGAATTTCAATCTCCATGCTATAAATTCTTTTGCAGGGAAGAGGATGAAAGTGGAAAAGTATTTTTACATCTGGACCAATTATCTCCTTATATCTACATTGTACATGCATATTCAAACATCCTCACATTGCTTCGTGTCAGATGCTATGAGTCTAGTTTCTAGTCAAAATTTGAGCATCTGCATGACATCAACCATTGATCAAGGAATTTCTGTCAACCAGAACTGGAGCTTTGTAATCACTCATTGCATGAATGTATGGATTTCAGTTCCCATTCCCCAGCAAGATCTCCATCTGCCTCAAGCAGCACATCCAACAGCTCTTCTGCCTCTGGGTCAAGTGGCAGTTCCTGGAGAAAGAAACGAAAGAAGACCAATCGTCTTGTCAAGGCCAGGAAAGGTATGCCTACCAAATTACTTAGCTTTGTTCAAGATTTTAGGTTTTGCTAAGGATGTTGTGCAGGGGTCAGGAATCTTTTTAGTCATGTGGGCCTTGTTAACCCTTATAGTGCCAGAGTCACTTACAGCGATGCTACAAATATTGCCTCAAAATGCCAGAGTCAAAGAGCTGGCACTAAAATATCCAAAGTTCGAGAAGGAACACGATCGAATGCTTGGACTAGAAACATTTCTCAACCTTTTAATCATCAGCTCTTCCACACTGGCCATTTCAATGAAATTCATAGCGTCGCTCTAATCGGCTCTGGCACTATAAGGGTTAAGATTGAGCCAAGTGCTTATGAATGAAATATTTTCAGAGCAACAGAATTTTTCCTGAAGTAGACAACAGACGTATGCATTCTTTTATACATGAGAAAAATGAGGAACAACCGTGATTTTCAGCCATGGCTCAATAAACCAAACATTTTGGTTCATATGCCAAATTTGGCTCATGAGGCATAGATTTTTGACCCCTGATGTAGTGGTACCAGATCTGTCAATAAGCTTGCAGCCTCACCCACAAGCCAAACACGCACAGATTTTATTTTACTATCAATCTTCAATGTAATGACTGTCACTCTCAATGACACTCCAATCATGCAAAATTCTAATACCAGAATTGTAAAAAAAAAAATTATTGCTGTTAGACCATTCTTGCACAGCCAACTACATCTCATCGCCATTGCCTAAATGCCTCTTTCAGATTTTCAAACAGTAATTTCTGAACTGTACACTGGGTCCTTGGGTCTGACTGACATGCTTACTTACATGTTTGTAAATTGTAAAAAGGACCTTCAAGAAAGGCATTTTGGTGATGACAATGAGCTGAATGGAAGTCAGCCATGCAAGAATGGTTTGACAGCAAGAAGAATCTTTTTAAGATTCCAGTATTGGAATATTGCATGATTGTTGGAAGCATGTCATTGAACTTGATGGTCATAGAAGATTGATAGTAAAATAAAATTTGTGCTAAATACTAAATTTATCATTGTTTATAATTGACTGGATAAAAGGGTTTAAAATTTGGTCATAAAGGCCTCCTGGAGGGACTTTNTTTTCTAGTCACACCTGTACTGATAATTCTAGAAAGTTCCCAGTTATGGGCAATAATACATTGCATGAGTGTTTGGTGGAGTGCAGAATGATGTACTTTCTCTTCAAAATTGGGACCTTCATTGAAATGCTCCTCCCTTTTTTGGGATACTCCTTGTACATTTTGAGGTGGAATGACAGGAAAAAGAACCTCAAAACCTCCTAATGTATGCCACTGTACTCCAACATTCATCACATTGACATTTTCTTCACTCTCTCTCCTTTTGTTGGTCTCCTAACACTTTTGTAGTTGCTCTTTGCCATGCCCCTTTTTTCATGAGTATTTGCTTCCTTGCTCCTAGAGGACAATATTTCATGGAAGTCTTTACAATGCTCAACTCTGAGTATTTTTAAATGCTTAAAATTATTTTTTAGAAGTACTTCCCTTGCAAGAAGGATGTGACAGTCCTTGAATATCTGCGATTTTTCATACTGCACCCTTTGGCAGCACTGCTCTGGAGATATGCTCTGGTGCTCTCAGCACTGCTCTGGAGCTCATGGCACAAGGGACATGAGCTTACCCAGTATGAATATGGCTAATTCAGAAAATATGTATTTCGCTACACCGTTAACCCAATGCTGTACTTCACCCAATCCCAAAGTAAGGATGGAGGAGCATTTCAATGAAGGTCCCAATTTTGAAGAGAAAGTACATCATTCTGCACTCCACCAAACACTCATGCAATGTATTATTGCCCATAACTGGGAACTTTCTAGAATTATCAGTACAGGTGTGACTAGAAAAGTTCACTTTTAAGGAAAGATATGCCAACACAACTTTTGGATCTATTTTTGGATTCAGGCTTTGCATAGCATTATGCATTTGGAATTTTTTTAATTAAGATTTCATGCGATGGAGTTAGACATGTATTGTCTTTGGCCAGCAAACTACTGATCTTTCTTTAAATTACTCCATGCCTCATTCGCTTTCATCTTCCGGGCCTAAAATGGAAGGAAGAATTTTTACGATTTTTGAAAATATTTTTTTCCTTGTGGAGGTATGAAGGCAGTGCCTTATGGCGTTATTGTAATGATGGTGCGTGTTTGATGTACCATCCTCTTGAGAAAGTATAGAACAACTTTTACTTACCCAGATAAACTGTCTTAGATTAGCGTGTTCTTTCGTTGATCTCTTTGCTTCTACAGAACCTGCACCGCCAGGGATGGAGCAAGAGAAAGCAAAGCCGAAGATTCCCACTCATGCATTTGCTCCTCCTCCATCTCAGGCTACTGTTCTCCAGACATCCAAGGGCATTGATCCTCTCAAGGTATGCAGTGACAAGTCGCAGTTTAGCTGATCACTTACTTCTTTCTTATCACGCATATATGAATGATTGACATTCAGGCATCAGGGCAGAAGCAGCAAATCAAACTGACTCTGAAACCCAGTACGGAATTACGAGAGAAATTGCCTGCGATGATGGAGAAAGTGGCGCCACCCATCCCGGTGGAGAAGGTCGGAATGGTGACTAAGTCGAGCAAGAAGACTGTTGTCTCGAGGCGTGAAGAACTTCTCAAGCAGTTGAAAGCCGTCGAAGATGCTATTGCTCGTAAGCGTTCCAAACTTCAAGATGCCTGACTTGGCATACCAGAACGTCCCCTTGATGGATTAAAAAACATCTATCATGCTCATCGTGATTGGAGTCCATCTACGTCCAACTTCCTTCATTTTTCATGTCAGTGCAAGCCCTGTCAATATATGGTTGATTGGTAAGGCCTGGTAATAAATCATTCATGACGTCTCAAAATCTTACCTTTACCTTATCATACCTTACCTGGATTATAAATTTATCCTTTGTGAAAAGTAGTTGCTGGTTCTTGGCATTCACTCCGTATCTCGATGCAACCTTTACAAAAAAGTTTTATGAGGTAAAATTGGGACGGTAAAACTGAGGTAAAAAAAAAAAACAAACAAACAAACGGTTTTTTCCCTTTTCTTAATCTCTCAGAAAACCCTTCAGGGTTAAATATAGGTGAACAAGGGGGTAACGTTATGTATGGGAAGACCACATTTCAAGTTGGGTTGAATGTTGATGTCCTCCACCCACGTAATGATTAGCAGCCTCAACTTGATCTCACGATATCAGTGACATCTCTAGGCCGTTTATCGAATCCAAAAGCCATCACCGATATACCAACGACAATCTTGGTGTTTGAACCCTAGTAAAGTTTTCGAACGACCCTCGTATGATAGGTATGATAGACCCGAAGACAGTATTGAGATCGGTCAGTGGATGCAAAGGAACAGCGAGACGACGACGGATTAAGTTATCGGGACATTGCAAAGGAACAGAGACCGGCGTGTGTCCAGATGGACGGTACAGCGCCACCTTGCTCCATTCGGTCATAAGAGCGTTTTACCTCGAGCGACGCCGATGCTGACCCAGAAGCAAAAGAAGAGGCGAGTAGGATGGGAGGGGCAACACAAAGACGACGATTGGAACCGGACGGTGTTTTCCGATCGAACTTGTTATCGATTGCTCAGAAATACGATACATCGTTGGTCCAAGAACGCTGAAAAGCAGCCCAAGAGAATTCCCAAAAGCAGGCAGAAGATGATGGTGTGTGGAGCCTTCAGCATTCTGAATGAATGGCACGATACCCGCCTTTTGGGCGGGTATCGTGCCATTCATTCAGAAGGATCTTGGACGGCCCCTATTACGCTCAAATTCTTCAAGAACATCTACTTCCTGGTGCAAGAAGACTGTTCGGACAACCCTGGCGATTCCAGTAAGAAGACGATCCAAAACACACAAATAAGGAAGCGAAAAAGATTTTGGAACAGGATGTACCCGAAACGACCGACTGGTCGCCAAACAGTCCAGACGTAAGCCCAACTAAAAACTTACGGTCCGTTTTTTAGCGTCGCGTGGAGAATCGGAGGCAGAAATATCTAGATGAATTAAACCGATTCTTGCGTGAAGAATGGCAACGAATTGACTTTCGACCATAAGTCATTTGATCGCATCGATGAAAGAGAGATGTTTGGCTCTTATTGATTCAGACTGCGATCGAATCATTGATTGACTTGTATTTCTATAGAATATTGTATGGGGAATATGTGAAAAAATAATTGTTTCAAAATTCATCGCTCTTAGCAATAGAAACTCACCAAAATCTAACGGGAATTTTTTGCCCTCCACTTTATATAAAGCACATTATAAAGGGTCCAGCGAAAAGACACGAGGGGAAAGAGATCCCGAGTACCTGGGCCAAATAGCCTTCGAGGGAATGATTGTGATTTACCTAAAGGGTATAAAGTGAAATAACAGAGAACGGAAAGTGAAAACTATAAATAGAGAGAAAAAAGGAAAAGGAAGGAAGGAAACGAGGAGCCGAACGAGTAATGGAAGGGTTCGTGCAGTCAGGAGTGCAGGTACCAACAAGAAATTTGAGTAGATTTTTTAAAGATCTCGAGAGGGATGAGTATGGTGGAGATCCTGTTCTCGGATATCGTCGATGGAGTGATTCGGTTGTGAGGAACGAGATGGAACCGGTTCAGAAGACTCGGTACGAACGACCCGAAGGTACCCCACAAAACGGTCGCTCCAACGACGTGTGATGTCCAATTTCACCTGTCAAATTTGGAAGGGCAGATAGTAAAACGTTGCAAGATCTCGAAGTGTCATTAGTGGGTGGTCGATGGAAAGCGAGGAAGAAACGAAGAGATCGATGAAAGATCACGAACGACCGCAAAGGAAGGTTCCAAGTATGCACGGGGAGCAGAGTTCCGGGTGGGAAATCACCTTTCTAATATTTCTGTCGAGTTAGAATGCGAGGAGATGGGGCAGTGTTGGGTCCAGACACAAGAATGGGAACATCGATTTTCGTGATGTTAGTGACACCGCGAACGAGAGGGTGAAAGGTCGTCACAAAGTTCAGCCGACACGATCGGTTTACGGAAACGTTCGGATGCGCGAGGCTCATACACGAGCCGATTTTGCACGCGGTTTTGGGGTTGCATAGCGTGACCTGGCACCGCATCCACAGATTTCCGATCGCGAATTCGGGGCAGGGAAGAAAAGGAAAGGAAAATCGTTAAACTTGCTTGATGCTTTAACGGATCCAAATAAACTAGAAGATGATAAAACTCCACGATCCGTTCGGATTTTCGTAGGAGCAGCAAGACTCTATCGCCATCATCCGACGCTCGCCAAATCTCTCCCGTATTCTTGACGTGATGAAAGAAGCATCACCAGGAGCGACTTATTTTCTCCGTTCGAACCTTTGTTAATGAAGCACGAACATTCTCATCGCGACCGTTGCTGGAAAATGATTCGAATCGAGATCTCAGGGAGATGCAATGTGTGAACGCATTATTTCTCGTTCCGATCGAGAGAGCGAGTAAATTTATACGTCCATATGGACAAGTTTGATTACCTCGGGCTGACCAGGGTCCGACTCGTCGGCGAACTTCCTTCGTGTCACCCATAACTAATGATTTAGGATGAAATAGCAATTGGCGTCCCCGACACCCACATAATGGATCTCTCGTTCGATCCTTTGCTCCGGCTCCGGTCGCCGACCGACCCGCGAAAACGACATCCACCATCGCATCTCCAGGTTTTCTCACATTTACAGGAACTTCGGACGACCGTCCAAATCGGGCAGGATGGAGTCGATCGAATGTCGATTGTCGATTTTTTCCCCTTCACTGATCGGCTTCGTACTTAACGCGACGGGAAGGGACACGAGAGGTCGCATAGGAAACCACGTGTTAAGATCTCGCGTTGTTTTTTCGTCGACTGAGAAAGGTTCCAACTCGATAGAAGCACAGATTGCACGGTAAGATGGTAAGACCATCACAAAAGGTATCCCCGATCATATCTTACCTTCTGAAAACTACCAGACCATTTCTCTCTCTCTCTCTCTCTCTCTCTCTCTAGATATATATATATATATTTATTTATTTATTTATTATTTATATTTATTTATTATTTATATTTATTTATTATTTATATTTATTTATTATTTATATTTATTTATTTATATATTTATATATATATTTGGAACTCTTTTAATCACACTTAGCAGTTTTAGGCATGTCTCAAATTCTTCATTCAAAAGACGGTAAACAATGAAATAGAAGGAAATACCCAGATGTATATCAGCTCTCATTCCTACAAATCGAATAAATGTGTTGCAACGTCTGTTTTCAAACTGATCCAATTTCTCGAATGGAAATGTATCTGGTTAATGAGCGGATGCCAGCCGACCGTAGACTTGGCGATAGACTAGTATATCGTTCTACAGCTTCCAAGTTTCTGCTGTTTTTGCATAAGCATCGACTTTGCCGACTGCAAGTTTCCAAATCGTTAGCCGTTCACGGTTATTTTCAGTATGCTTTGTATATCCGGTGCCGAAAGGTTAGGAAAGTTAATACTTTTAACGTAAAACCATGACGAAAATGAACCTGCTCGCTGCAGAACCAAAATAAATCCATCGACCAAGAAAGGGCTCGGCAGCCCATCTGCTCCATTTCGCTCTGTTCTTGAGAATCGGGAGCATCGCCAGATCATCTCGAGTCTGCTTCGACCGCAACTATTCTCATGCCACTTTGTGGCGAATGAATCGATACGGTCGAACGCGATGGCGAAGTATAAATCATCGCGAGATGATTTCACCCGATGATTTAGCTCTCGGACGAGATCCAAACCGTGTAAACATCACAAAGTGGACGGTGTCATTTCCGAGAAGGGATTCTCGTTCCGATCTCTCTCTTCCCTCATGCGACGATCACGATCCGAGTCGGCAGAGATCGTTTCTGCATTCCACTTCTCGAGTACGGGCAAAATTGTCCATCCAATTGGGAAAGATGGTCTCCTCGAGCCTGATTAAAACGCGAATGCCATGCAGGCAATTCCTATTTCTTTTTTTTTATCATGTACAGGGTGGCTCAAAAAAAAAGGCATACTTTTCGATGCGCATTTCAAGTGTGATGCTTTCAATAATTTTTTTTTTCGGTTACGTGCAATGAAAAGAAGAAAGACTACAAAAGAAAGAAAGCTACAAAATGGCTTTCATCAGACTCGAAATATCTTAAACGATGACTAGAGAGTACCAGCCAAGGGAGGTCGGAGAGACCCCTTTTAGATCTACGCAGAAACGCGTTTTGGGGGGGTGGAACGCCTCACACTTTAGGGTATGCTGTGTAAGTAGACAGGGAGGCGAAGCGCGCCTTTGGCTTGGGAAACCGGGCAAGATCATGACATCGCGAAATCCGAAACTTGTGAAAATGTCCTCTACCCCGAAAATCTCTTTCTTTTTGTGATGGGTTTTGTGAATTCGATGTCCGGCCATTTCGCATTAGATCGGAGCTGTCATGAAAATCCTTTTTCCGTCACCATTATTCCCAATTTTTCCATTTCAATTCCTAAAGATCCCGGTTCATCCTCACTGCATTTTCCCTGTTCAGGTATCTCGTTCTGGTAGGTACGAAGATCCTAATAGCCAATAGATGGATATGCGTGTACTTGTAATTGATATCTTATTTCACAATTGAGTATTTGTGAATACTCCTTTGTGAACGAGTTTTTGAATCATAGACACATTTCCTTGGAGATCTTCGACGATCGTTCATTTTTTGCATCACCTGAGAGAAAAGAATTTTTCCAAGCTTTATCATCTCTTGTGCTCTCTTCAGCTTCTGACGAAGGATTTCTATCTCTAAGCAATGAGCATTCATGATCATCCGGAACGATGATTTTATGTCATTGTTTCTCAAGAGATGAGGAGACCTGCTGGT